GATAATTTCATTATATATATATATATGTATATATATCGCCATATGATCTCCAGATTGCCTGTTTTTTGTTTACAATTACTTATATAAGTATAATTGTATTATCTATTAGTATATTTGCTCATCTAGTTCTTTTTTTCGTTTTGATTGGCGTGCCCTATTATTTGGCATTTCTTTCATTCATAATTGTTTTAATTGCCTCTTAATTTGATTTTTAGCTTTCAATAGCTTGTCATTTTTTAAGGTCAAAATTTCTTTCCTTTCATTTTGATCTTATTTCTGACAATTGGCATATAGCTTGCAGTATCTTTGTTCAAGTCACATTTGGTAGGAAAAGATTATGTTTATTATTATTATATAGAATATATATATATATATCCATAGTTCCTATTCACCCGTTAGTTCTACCAGATCACGCAGTTTTTTTTATAAGGGTAATAAAATTGGACTGATCTTCCACCTGTTTCTCTGGAAATAACTTTCAACTTCGAGGGTTAAAGTCCCCTTTTTCTGTCATTCTCCTTCCCATTAATTTTAATTCCCTCCCAAGCAAGATGTAAATGTTTTTTTTTATAAAACACAATTGAACAAGATAAGGTATTTATTTATTTATTTCAAATGGCAGGCGTTTTGATAGCTATCATTAGTCATTTAGCTGACTTCGGGCTTCACAGAGGGAAGTTTCATCAAAGTAGCAGAAAGTCGAGGGGTGGGGATCGGGAGAGCGATTCACAGATGTTAAAGAGGCAGACAGACACAAAGGTAGAGAAAAGGGTAAGATGAGTACTGCGGAAGAGGTCAAATATGACAACCAGGGGGGTCGTGGTAGTTTGAAGTCAGATGTCAACTGCCGGTTGATAGAATTTTTTGCCGTATGAGTATACGTTGCCCAGGGTGCACTACGTGGAGGTAAGTCTATCGCACACCCCTTGAACAAGATAAGGTATAAATCTCTACACTGATTGTGCTATGCAGAAAGTTCATTCAATTCATAAGCAACTTTCTTAAGCAACATCTTATCTGACCATTGAGAGCAATTCCACTGATTCCATTTTAATATTAGCACTATTTATTAGTAAAATGTTAATGACTGCAGAGTGTGGCGTAGTGATTGATATGCTCATCTGCGCATCGAGAGATCACGTGTTGGTTGCTCATCCGTGAAAATGCACTTAGCATAGTTGTCAATGTCAATAACAACTCCTGGCTGTCATTGATATTGTGAGCTCTAATACCCTGAACTAGCGCTCTATTGGAGTCTAGTGGTTGGCTCCTCGTTGGTGCCTTTATTTTATCCAAGCCCAACTTTCGCAGATCAGATCATTAATTCTACCTCTCTCTCTCTCTCTCTCTCTCCAACTGTCTCTTGAACGTTTGCCTTGTAGGCCTTACAGGTGTGACTTCACGCATTCCTTTTTCTGGTAATAGAAATGGCGCCTGTGCAATTGTGTCAATTTTAAATTAGTTCCTCCACTTCCTTCCCCATCCCCCCCCCCCCCCCCCCCCCCCCCTATAATTAAATTAGTTTCTTTAATAAACCCCGGGTGGGGGTGGGGGGGGGGGTTAGGAGAATTACCCGTGTGTGTGATAAGCAAATTATGTGTTGTGGAGGTTGTGTCTCCTCGCCCCTACGAAAATTCGATTTCGACCGGGGATGAATGGTATTCTGATGTGCAGAAAGCTGTTTACTCTCTAAATTTTCTCAAGGTTCGCTTATTGCTAAGCTTTCATTTTGTTTTTTCGCTCTCCTGAATTAACATTATATCTAGGGTGACAAACGATATGTCTTTATCTAGTTTATGTCACCCTGTTTATAAGTACACGCATTTCTGCACTTGTTGACACTTATTACTTAATATTGAACACTTCCTCTTTTCTGCTGTTGTTGTTGTTGTCGAATACATTTATTTATTTATATCAAATGGCAGGCGTTTTGATTGTTATCATTAGCCCTTTAGTTCACTTCGGGGCTTCACAGAGAGGAGAAGGAACATCAAAGTGACAAAAAGTCGAGATGGGGGGGGGAACAGAAGAGTGATACACAGGTGTAAAAGAGGCAGACAGACAAACACAAAGGCATTAAAAGGTAAAATGAGTATTGTGAAAGCGGTCATAGTCAGGCCATAGTATTGGGTTGGCAACTATGTCATTGCCGTTTTTGTTGACAGCTTCACTCTATACTTTCTTTTGTTTTGTTAACATGGCCAGAGCATCTAACCTATATTTTTTCTTACTGTATGGGCTTCTATTTTAATTAGTAAAAAATTTTTTTGTTTAGTTCTTTAGTTTTGTTTTTATCCCAATTTAAAAATGAAAGAACAGGACGTGCACTTCCGACACATTTTATTGTATTACTTCCGAAAAGGCAAGAACGCATCGCAAGCACAAAAGAAGTTATGTGCCGTATATGGAGATGAAGCCTTAAAAGAAAGGCAGTGTCGAAATTGGCTTGAAAGATTTCGTTCCGGTGATTTTTCACTGAAAAATTCACAACGATCTGGCCGCCCAGTCGAAGTGGATGAAACCCATATCAAGGCCATTATCGATTCAAATCGTCACAGCACAACACGAGATATTACAGAGAAGCTCAATGTGTCGCATACATGCATTGAAAAAAATGAAAAACCCTTGGTTATGTCAAGAAACTTGATTTATGGATTTGTGATTCACCAGTTAAAGGAAATTCATTTGACGCAACGGATTAGCATCTGTGATTCGCCGCTACTGAAACGCAATGAGAATGATCCATTTCTGAAGAACGTAGTTACTGGCGACGAAAAGTGGATAGTTTATAAGAATGTTACTCGCAAGAGATCATGGGTGAAGCAAGATCAACCAGCCCAAACAGTATGAAAAGCAGCAGAGATTCACCAAAAAAAGATTATGCTGTCAGTCTGGTGGGGGGATCACAAAGGAATTTTGTATTTTGAACTCATGCCGCAGAACCAAACGATAAATTCAAATGTGTATAATGAACAACTCGAGAAACTGAAGGATGCAATTGAAGATAAGGGGCCGGAATTATCAAATCGGAAGGGTGTTGTTTTCCATCATGATAACGCAAGGCCCCACACATCTGTGGTTACTCGGCAAAAATTATTGGAACTGGGTTGGGATGTTTTGTCACACCCACCATATAGCCCTGACCTTGCGCCTTCGGATTACCATTTGTTTCGTTCCATGCAAAACTCTTTAAATGGTAAAATTTTTAACAACGCGGATGATGTCGGATCACACCTAATTCAGTTTTTTAATAGCAAAGACCAGACATTTTAGGAACGGGGAATTTTTACTCTGCCAGAACGATGGAAAAAGGTCATCGACGAGAACGGCCAATGTCTAATTGAATAAAGTTGTATTTTTAAACAAAATTCCGAATTTGCCTTCTTATTTGAAATCGGCAATGACTTAGTTGCCAACCTAATATATATTGACTCAGAGAATTTGCCTTCTTATTTGAAATCGGCAATGACTTAGTTGTAACCTTATATATTATTAAGTACTTAAGTACCCGCACACATATAGATGTTTGAAGTCAGAAATCAACTGCCGATCAATAGACTTTTTTGCCGTATAAGTATGACAACTGCCGGTTAATAGACTTTTTTGCCGTATGAGTATACGGTGCCCAGGGTGCACCACGTGGAGGTAAGTCTAAATATACATTGCCCAGGGTGCACCACGGAGGTAAGTCTAATATACGTTGCCCAGGGTGCACCACGTGGAGGTAAGTCTATTGCGGACCCCGTTGTTGAAAACATTAAATCTGTTCACTTTAATGCTACTTTAATCCCTTCTGCATTCAACGTATTGATTGCCATTTTATCGTTAATAGGTGGCAATCACATCTACACCACTTTTGGGAGTGCGGTAACATTCACGCGCTAATTGCTCCATAAACAGTTATTATTCAGCTGATGATATCGTTTGAGTCAGGTCAGTACACCAGGTATTGGCCTGCCCTTAACAGTGGTGTTTATTTTGCGCGCTTAGTGAGCTGATCATAACCTCCGACAGCACAAACTGCTTTGCATAGTTCCTCTTATTCAATTATTCGACTGAAGAATCAACTAGTTTTTTTTATCACCCGACTGCATAACCAAGACCCGAAACCAGGCCTCCCGCTTTGCGCGCAAACACCGGCGTGGAATTCCCTCTCATTAGCCATCATTTGCTGACTAATTGTGCCTCTCCGTCTCGTCTCTCACATTGTATATATATACATGTATATGCAGTCTTCTTTTGTAAATTAGGGCTACTACATTTAAGATCCACTCTTGAAATCTCTGTGGTGTTGCTAGGGCAACTTTATGCCCTTCATTTCTTCTACAGTCTCTTTCCTTTGTGCTTATTTATGAACCCTAACTCTGCCTGGAGCTACTCCAGGTCACTGATATATATATTTTTTATGATTGTCTCCTACTTTCTCGTCTACTTTTGAGCTAACGTAGGGGCTGAGTTTCCTCGTATGGTCTTGTGCGTCGTTCTGCCTTTGGGGTCACGTACTTAATGGTTCGCCCTTGTATTTGCCCCTGCATAAGCAGGCTTATCTCCTCTTCAGCGTCTCGTCTCCTGAGAATCTCGGTCCCTCTCTAAATGGACCCTGTAGGGTGAATCAAGTTAACTCCAACCCAGCCCCACGACCCCCCTCCCCCCCCACCCCAAACTTGCACCCCACGTCGAATCGGCCATGTTATGGATGGGTGGTTAAGGTTGAACTTAAGGAGGAGGGTGCAGTAAAATTGAGATCCATTCACCTTGTCTCCTCTCTTCGTCCGACTTGCGAATGCGCTAGATCGGATTAGATCAGTTAGCATTTATTATTAGTTAAATTTTAAATATTAATTTAAATTAATTACTTCTCCCTTGATGCTCAGTTATTACTTCTTGACCTTCAAATTTTTCTCCCATCCAATTTAACGGACATAAATTTGTTCAGTTAAAATTACCTTTGAGGTCAAAGAGTGTGAGTCATCTTCTTTTCAAACTCAAAAAAATCATCCAGTTTTTCGGGTAAAATTTTCACTTCTTTCACATAGGTTTATCATTTCCTTTTTACTTTTACATGCTATTTATATTAGGCGATAAGATTGGAATTCGATTCGTTCCCTGAACTAATTGTGCGCATTGTATCATTGCAAATAGATAATTTAACTCCGATATGAAGTGCATATTTTTGGAGACCATTATGCCCAACTAATGTTTCTGTGTTATCTGAATTCCCAGTGCAATACGCCTATTCACATCTCATCATCTAAAGCACAGGGTCACCTCGCTGATTACCCAAGTCTTCATCACTGTCTCCATCATCACTTGCCAATCGTCCACCTCTCTCGGTGGAATATAAATGGGCAATTGAGTTTGTGTGGTGGATGATTGAATGTACCTTATCACTTTCTATCGGTCATGAACTATCATCTTTAAGTATATATATATTAGCGAATCCATTAGCTTGGGTGATTTGCTTCCTCGTCTTCGATGGGGGTCCTAGAAGTGTGGAAATGTCTCTGTGATGGAGAAGAACTTGCTTATGTTCAGTGAAAATAGGCTTGGGATATTGCCGTCTGTACGTGGATGGTGTATAGCTGTTGAAATCACAATTGTCTAGCGGAAGCCCCTGCTTATCTTTACCGGTGCCTTTCTTTTAATTCCTTATAGAATGCCCTGATTCCGATGGACGTAACCTCCGAATGTCTGGCTGCCATGGCCCACATCTGTCGAGGACTGCTTGTGAAGCCTTCCCTCAGAAGCCGAGTCACTCGTGATGATACTCTCATGCTTCTATTGCGAGTGATGACTGGAGTTATTATCCTCTATGATCACATTGATCCCTACGGCGTCTTTCGCAAGACCTCCAAACTCGATGTGAGTTGACCTTCTTCTATTGTGTATTTCCATTGTCTCTCGTTTAGTGTGTGTGTGTCCAGGGGTGATATAATGGCGATATCATCCCGATCTGTCAAATCCTATCTCATTAGTGCAAAATTTGCTTTAAGAGGTTCACTCACGTCCTCTCATTTCGCATCATTTAGTTGCTTGTGCCGATCAATCTTCGTTGGCATTGCATAATTTTAGCTCTGTTGTGATAATTCCCACTTGATAGTGCTTCAACTGATCTTTATTCGTCACCACTAGTCCGTTTGATCTTAACTGCGCATTCCTTGTCAATTGTGCTAACGTTCTCGGTATGTTGTCATTCTTGATCCCTTATCCCATATTTTAGAAATTGTTAGTGTTGTAATTGCAGTGTCATTTGCGGAAAGTCTTCCAAATCTTCACGTCTTTTCATTTCGTTTTTTTTCATCTAAAAGGTCTCTTTTTAAGATTCCATGTTTAATGAAAGCCATCACTTCTACCCCCCTCCTCTCTCATTTCATAATATCAATCTTCTTCTCTAGTCGCCCCCTTCACTATTCATATATTACATCATTAAACAATTAATTGGCGTAAATTGGACTTCTTAACAACGATATTTGTTTTAGTTTATCAATATTTCCCTAGTCATATGTACGTACACACTCTGCTTTGAAAAATAGGGGGGCACATTGTGAACTTTAAACTCATTAAAATCGTCTTTGTGAGCTACTGGAGTTTAGCATATTTGAGGTGGAATTGTTTGCACTTTTTTTCTAAACTCAGTATGTGTCTGCTTGTCTAATGTTTTTTTCTTGTTAATTATCCTTTCAGGAATTACTAAAGTTCAAGGGCTGCTTTCCTATTGGTCTATGATGTTTGTAGGAATTGCATCCAACGGTTTTGTAGACAGAACTTAGGAAGAGAGGAGTTTGGGGCGTTCACTTCCATGATGATCACTAAAAACAGCAATTAAGCCGATTGATTATGCTTAGTTGTTTTAAATTTCCATTTAACGAAAGGAGGGCCCGGGGGGGGGTTGATTATTGGGATATCATTTAAAGGTACATCAATCCGCGTGTTTTTTTAAATTCTTTCAGATTTGGGGCATTTGGAAAGGAGTTATGGAGACCATTGGATTTCAAAATCTCATTTAAGGTGAAAAAACTGGTGTTAATTCCTATGAAAGCAAACAGTGTCGCTTATGTTTAAGAAACGGGGTAATGGTATTGCTCTCACCTTCAAACTAACATGTCCATTTTGTAGTTATCAAGTCCTTTATTTCATTAGTGGCTTTGTTCGTAAGCTCTTCAATCTGTTCCTTCTATGTTCCCCCCCCCCGACATTCTCTAGGACTGCCAAAGGGAAGATTTCTAGTGGTACTTATTTTCATAGGAAGCATTGAATCGTTAGTCTAGCTTTTTCTGTGGCTGTTTTTGACGAGCATTGGTGGTTGTTCACAACTGGCTGTAATTTGATATCCCCCGACTGGGATATGGTAACCCCTTTCTTTTCTTGAATTTATCGCCTGACGAGAGTAAATGTCAGATCTCCACTACAGCTGGTGACATGAATAGTTTATACTTGACCCCCCCCCCCCCCCAAAGTGTAGTTTGCTACGCTGTTATTCACTTTAATCAGCTCAGATTGCAAATGGCGAGGTGTCTATATGCACTAATATGACCATTTTACTTCTGAAATCACCTTGTTATTGGATTGGGGATATAGTTTCCTGGAGCCATTCTGGCGGGAAAGTAAAATTGATCAATTTGGCTGGTTGTTCATGTGCTGCTAGTGGGGGTACATATTGCTCTCTTGTGAGCCGGGGGCGCGCTTCGTCTTGCCTCTATTTTTTCTCTCTTTCTTGACTCCTGGACACTAACTGAAGGTGGAGTTTCCACTTGCCATTCTTCTATGCACTTTAGGCAACTTCTCCTTGGCATGGAAGGTAACGGAGCTTAATTCAAGGCCATAGGTTTGCTATCCTAATGGATTGCTGATTTGAATATGTTGCCAGCACGCCGTAGTCGTGTAATTCAACAATAATCCACTCAAGCAGTTTCTGCTTTGGAGCACTTCTAGTGATTTGTGCAACACATGTATGGACTCGCTCCATTACTTGAATTTCTCTCGCATTCCACCCTTCTCTCCATATTGCGTTTTAAAATAGGCTATGTTTATTCTAGAATGACCTCCAAAATCTATACTTAGTCATTCATGCACTAGGCGCCAATTTAAAATAAATTTGAAATTAGACGATTGATTTGATCAATGCCTGCTATGCCTCTAATGTTGTAGTATTCTTGTTTGATGGAGTGAGGGTTTCTTAAGGACTGAGTGTTGATTGAACCTTCACATTTCCTCATTTTTCTATCTCGGTCATACCTCAAACCCTTTTCATTCTTCTGACTTGTTCCAAATCTCCTGAAGGCCCGTCTTTCCCAAACCTAACATTCCACTAGCCACTATTTTAAGCAATACATGTGATGTAGCCTCGCAAATGCATTTAGAGCTGTTGGGGAATTTTTTTAGGCGTTAACTACTATTGGCGATATGACAGCATCTTCTAGACCCTTCTAGTCTGCGTCTGGAGAAACTCCCAATGCAATGTATGCATGCATTCCTTTGAGACTTCAAATGCGACTGTCTACAATCAAATTGAAAGGAGTCATGCATTAATTGTAGTAATTATCTGTTTAGTCTGATGCAAAGTTGTTAATTTCACCCCCTCTCCGCCCTCCCCCCCCCCGCCCCACCACAATTAGTGTTATTCCAACTGTCTCGGTGTATTTACCAATGTTATTGCTTGTTTAAGTTCGTAACTACGACCTACGAGCGGACAGGTGGGCTGGTGGTCAGTTAGCTTCTTTTATTGTTTAACTTAACTTGCACTGATTCCGAACGCCACCTCTACTAGAGGTTCTTTCTCTCTCAGGGTGTGGTGTGGGTAGGAGGGGGGAGGGGGAGGGGGGGGAAGACGAATTGTACTTCCACCTTACTTACCTGCTTTCATTATTCAGGGCGTAACCGCTGCTGCGGTTAACAATTCCACTTAGTCATCGGAATCGATCCAAACCCTCCCCCCCCTTTTTTAGAAAAGTGTGGAGGGAAATATCTCAACGCCTTCGTCATAGGAACGCATCCATTCAAAAAAACCACGACATTTTGGACAGATTTAGTCTAGGTGACTCGATGGGTGTGTGTGTGTGTGCGCAAGCAGGGCCATTTGTTACTCTGTGTTAAGCTTTTGATCTTGACAAGTTATGTTCTTGTCGGAAGAGACTCAGTTTGTGCTTTAGCAAAGTGCTCAATATTGCTCAGAAGCATCTTCGTTTCAGTCGGATAACGAGTTTTGGAACCCCCTGTGTACCAAGTTGTTGTGCCTCTCTTCAAATTCTGTAAGCCTTTTTTCAAGTGTTGCATTCCATAGCCCTCTGATAACTGGACTTGAAGCCAAATCTCCTTGCTTAACTAAATAAATAAATATAAATTCCATGTTCACTGGCTTGGAAGGAACTCCCTAACCCCCCCCCCCCCCCCCCCCCCCCCCAAGAGAATCATATTCAAGCATTAGAGGTAGCGTTGAGGTCAAGCCAATCTAATTTACCACTACTCAGATTACTCATCAAATCCGCTTCACCTGAAATCCAGTTGGGTATGAAAAAAAGTCATCATTTTTATTGGCATGCTGGAAGCGCAATAACTCCCTCTCTTCCTCCTGCTTGTTGCTGGCAAATTCAATGCCCATCGGTGCACACACACACGCCCAAGCGAACGGAATAGCCAATCAAACTGGCTATATTTAGTCAATAAAATCCTGGCATTTGGGGGGTGGGGGTGGGGGTGGAAGGGGGGCGAGGGGTTTGGCATCAGGGAGACTCAATGATGCCACTCAGCTCGTAATGGGTATTGGAGACCGCTTTCACAAATAGGCGCATGGAAGGTATTACCATTAGTACTCAATCAAATCCCCCCCCTTTTTTTTGAGAGAATATTCAAGCCCTCACTTTAAATCCTCCTTAAAACTTCCACTACAACTGATTAATTTTTGGCCTCTACAGAGACATGATTTTGTGCTTTAAGGGAGCTTGTTTTGTTAGAACTTGTCTACTCTTGCAGTGCATGGGAATTAGAAGCGCAATCTAATTACCCTACTTATGGGTTATACCTAATGAAATCACACCTTAGGGTTGAAATATACTTTGGTAAATCAGATTCTTTTTTTTTTCTTTTGTGAAAATTGTGTTCATTTTTTTTCTCACACCATAGTGCATCCTAAACATACACGCACGCACGCACACACACTCCCAAGTACTCAATTGAATAATTAGTCTCTTTCTCGTCTTGACCTAGTTGTGCTCCAAGCGGAGTTGCGATCTCCTTTTTTTCGGAATATCTCATACTTTAGTCAAAAGGAAATATGCCCTTTTTTGCGGCAAATGTTTTGTTTTGTTTGATGAGTTTGTACTTATCACAATTCCAGACCTACCTCAGAGCGTTGCTTTGTTTGGAGGATTATGCTTTGTTGAGTTCTACTTTCCTCCGACCATTTGTGTAGTCATGAAAAAAAAACAAGGTGAATTGGGGGGGGGGGGGGAACATGTCTTTCACGTAATGCTTATCCAACCTCTCGGCTACAAATCACCAAGGCTCAGTGTGTATTGGCTTTAAGGAACAATAGCAAGTATTTGTGTTGGCACAAAGAATGCTTTGACTTGGTCAATGATAGTGAAATTTGAGTGAAATAGCATCCGATTTATCATTCTCGAATTCTCCCTCCCCCCTCTCTCTCTTCACTTTCCCTCGGGGTTCTAGGCTTATTTTTTGCAAAGTTTACAAATTGCTCCTTTATCAGGTTTCAGCGCCACGACTACTGTTGCCAGGCTCCATTGTATGCTCCCTGTTCCCACCCCCCTCCCCCCACCAGCGCCTCCCTCAGGGGTGTGTGTGTGTGTGATTCATTCACCGGTCTTTCCACGCTTAAGTTCTCCTCCACAAGTGTGTATGCGTGACGAAAAGTC